TATATTACTAAAAGACAGTGCTTTAAATATAATGCAAATTTATTCGTACTTTTAATATTTTGAGAAAAGCGTTTCATGGTATGAAAGGTTTGGTAACCTAACCTCAAAACAGTTACGTGTTGTTGCTGCTGACAAGTCGATGTTTAATTGCAAGTTATCTATGAATGATGTACAATTGCATGGATTTGACTCACTCATTTCAACATTGCTTACAGGAAACCTTATATAATAACAAATCATTTTAATTTCATATTTATTATTTTTAAATGATGACATGGATGAAATGTGTTAAATAAATATGTACATGTTGCACTATTTGACACGCTGGTTTCTGATGTACAACTTTGTCAAAAATTAATTAGTGTCATATACAAAATCATTATAAAACGTATCCCCATTTTCACATCATAAAGTATAGTTTTTATTCTACATATTTTTTTATATTTTCTACAAAATTTGATATTTAATATAACTATGGTTTGTAATACAAAATTTGAAAAATGTTTCAATAAATATCAGCGGAGTCAGATCCGAAATATGTGTAGTAACGTTACTCAAAAATTTTTGTGGTATGAATCTAACTTAAATCGGAATAACTGTAACCCTAGAAAGGTTTCTATGGGTACCGTGTTTCCATGTTGGTTTCTCCGGAGTGCGCGTAACGCGATCCCGCTTTGAATCGAACTAATTAAAGATAAATCTTTCCAAATCAGTTAACCGCAACTCGAGAGACAATCGTAATTGGTGCACCTTTCTATGCTAGTCGCGGGAAGGATGCGATTCTCATTAAACTAGACAATCGTTGGCTCGCAATTAACGTCGTATTAGTGATATACGTCGGTGCAAAAGTAACACCCATTCCGTCACAATTCACGAGAAAATGTTTGTTTAATCCAAGAATTCATTCAACAACCACATTCTACGTGTTCCCTGCGTTAATTGCTCTAATTATGATAACGGCATCAAGGTATTTAACGACTGAGCGCAATTAAACGTAATTGTGATAGAAATATTGATTATAACGTTACGTAGCTGATGTTCACTTTTTGTGAAATTTTCTGGTACTATTAGATCACTGGTGATAATGTTTATTTTTTTATGTCCGTACATCGTAAAACTGTTAATTAAATTTCAGATAGCAGTGTTCATCGTTACATGTAATGGGTCGTAAATGATCTCGTAAACTGGTTATGTAATCGTAATGTCGCTGTACCAATTAACCCTTCCAAATCTTCGAGATATAGAAATCGTACGTTCATTTTGTTCTTCTGAAACGTTTAATACAATTTGCTTCTGCGAATGCCCTAATTAAGAACCATCAGTTCATTATAATAATTTCAGCTCGAAATCCAGGATTTTCTGCTATGGGAGCGGTGCAACGTACAGTATCCTCTTAACAGTAAAACCTTCTTCTCAAAACATGTCACGAAAATTTTAAAAGTTTAAAAATTTATTAGCTACTTATACCTATAATTTAATAGCATTCATGTAAATCGAGAAATTTAATAAAAAAGAACAATACTATTATAAACTAATATAGAACATTGCTAACGAAGTAACGTCTTGATGAAGCAATAACATAAATTCGAGAAGAACAGTTCCGATAGAAATCGCTTAAACAAAGAAAGGAAAAAAATAAATTCGGACGAGCGGATAGGCTTTTAATTGACTAGACTCGCGTGTTCCAAGACAAAAGAGAGACGAAAGCAGAGATATCTGTCTGGGCGTGGAAGCCGATGATCTCTTGCACGTTTCATTGTCCATCCAGTGTGGGTGTCAACGCCCCCGTCCAACATTTCTTTTTATCCGGTGCAAAGTCTCTCGGTAGAATCGTGGCTTTGCTCGTTGAACATTATAATTAGACGCTATTCGTGGCTCGTAAATATGATTCTACGTTTCAGTTGAAACGCCGATTTATTCACGAGATACCTGGTGAGCTGTATAGGCGTGGATCTTTGTTGATAATGATACTCCGCGGAGGATAAATGCTCGGTAAAGTAAATTTTACTAATATCCTTATTACGTGGAAACGGCTGTACATAATATCGTATACTTTAATAACAGTTTACTCGTCTTGTTAGCGAAACGTTATATCTAATATCTTCTGCGGATTTAGAGATTTGAGGATTTGTTGGGGTTTTAGTATTATAGGAATTTGGAAATTTATGTATTTGTGGTACAGAGATGGAGATATATGGATTTGGGGATTTAGAGATTTGAGAGATTTTTAGATTTAGAAAATTTTTTACTGATTTTGAGATGTGGAGATTGGGGAGAGTAGATATTTGGAGATATACAGGTTTGGAAATACAGGGATATGGGCATCTAGGAATTTGGAGATACAGGGATATGTGAATACGAGGATATATGGATTTAGGGATGTGAGACGTATTAATATATTGCTGGGAATAATTTTGTAGTAACTTCAGAGAATCAGAGTGTTTTCTTATTTTTTAATAATCCTCTTCAATTGTCAGTTTCACAATTTCACACATACTTTTGAATCGTTCTAAGCAAAATAAAAATATGACAAAATATATGTATATCCAGAAATTATCGCCAACTACTGACACCTACCGCAACATCCTCTGAATTTCAGTAAATAATCCTCCACAATTGTACCATAATTTTTCCACACTATCAACAGAGAATCTATTCGAAGGGTATGAAATACCTGTCCATCCTCCAAATGTTAATTGATAAACGTAATAATTCTCGACTGCTGAGATCCGAATAAAAACGCGTACAACAGTACCGTGACAAGAATGTATTCGGACGTCTGATTCATTCCAGCGATTTGTTTAACCTTTTCAAACACGATGATACAATGTATGAGACATTCCGCGGAGTCCGAGCATTAAAGGAGCAGTAAATCTTAGGGACAAAAAAATTGCCAGATAGCCAGCCAGTGTTCCGGTATGACTGTCGATTTAATCGTACGACACGATGGAAGTTCTACGAGGCCGTCACGAAGAATCTTCGTCTTTACGGGTGATCCGGCCTAGGCCGACTTTCCCTTTTCCAGAAGATCGAGGTTGTCGAGCTATTCGCTCGCTGTCCATCCTCATAATAGGAATGATCATTTATTAAAGCGTTGATTCACCTGGTGGATCGAGTAATCGACCGTGAGCCGCGCTTTGTAGTGTTTTTCTACGCCTCGATGCGTATTGATTACACCGTGCTGAAATCCACCTATCCTTGCTTCTTTTCCGCGTGCCTCCATGCTTCGTGTCCTTCGCTCGAATGCTACACTTTTTCTTCAAAAGCTTGCTTCTTAAAAGTTACTGACATTGTAAAACTCACTCTTCTGCACCCATATCTCTCTACATCACTCGTTCATATTTAGTCCCTGGTTTAGGACCGCTATAAATTTTCAAGATTTTACAATAAAAATTTTACGTTTTTAAAATTAGACAATTTTCCATATATGACATTACATTATAGCCATACAAGTGAGATTTTTATATGTGGTCAAGACTATGTATGCTATACAATGATTTCACGTGTGTTCATAAATTACGTGTATTCATAAATATTTGACGTGAATTTAACAGTTTTTGACCAGGTATAAAGAATTAATATTATTCAGAGAATTAATGTTGAAGATAAAAATTTATGTGAGTCAACGGATGCAGCCTGTTCTCCCACGATACCGTTCGAGTTTTCGTTCGACGAACACCGAGCTACACGAATCAATTATCATAATTAATGGGTCGATTCGCGAACTCGCACGTTTGCACGCACGTATCGACGTTGGGCTGCTGAACATCCTTCATCGACGAACAACAAATCTCTATTCATCATGCGAACGATGACTATCGGTCCGCTTAATTAATCGATCGAGTATTAATCGGGACGATTATGTTGCCCAGCTCCGGCATGCAATTACCGCGCCATGGAGTCGGGGTAATGGCGTATCCTCACGGAATCGATCGTTCCTGCTGCGAAAAATATCCACCAAGATTTCGTGGATAACATTTATTATCACTGCTTGATAAACTGATTTATAAACAATGTATCGAAGGGGAGATACTATTTCGTAGAAAATAGTGGTGTAGGTGTTTATTTTAATTAATAGTATGGGTACTTATTCAAGTAATAGTGTAGACAAGTAATATTATTCAAGTAATATCGTTATCAATCTATTAATGAAACCACTTTTTACTTTGACATGTGGTAGTAGGGGTGGAAACATCAGTTTAAAAAATTATGGAAATATTTTTGAAATCGCACAAAATATGAAAAGAAAATTAAACTTGAAATTATGTCTCTTTCGAAGTACCACATTTTCTTAACTTTAATTATAATTATAATTGAGTTTTCGTGATATTTTCACAGCAGTCAGAAGTAAGCTGCGGCAACAAGCTCTCCGGTAGAATTAGGAAACATCCCTTCGTTCGGGAATAATCGTTTGGTGGGTTAGGTTAGGAACACGAGGCAACGTAATCGTCGCGGTCGTGCAGCGAACACGTAACGAGAAAGGGGAAAAAGGGCAGTCGCGCACACGTAGCGACGATAAATTTACATAGCGATGTAATCGGCGAAGAACAAGTGACCGAACAAGAAGATTCTCTATCTGGATGGTAGGCAGTAAGGAAACACCTCGTTGGTTAAGACGATATGCTCGGCGCTAACGAGGCGAGGAGAGCGCGATGCAGGCCCGATTATAATCGTCAATATAGATATAACTCGCGGACGATATCGTTTGGGGAATCCGATAACGCCTGGTTTATCCATGGGACTAGAAATTTCACCTACCATACCGATTACAATGATGAAATTCCTCCTTTCACCTTTACCTATCTGATCGTGCAATTCGCCATTTTTTACCGTGCGATAACGAACGATCGTGAAAGCGAACACTTGTTACATTGTTAAATCAATTTTATGTTATTGTAGGAATTATAGTGATAAGTTTTAAAGACTTGTACTTTGAAAAAAATTTGAAGAATTGAATAAGTATGGTTTTGGTTAACACGTTATTTTGATGTGTGTTTTAGGTAAGTTCTGGCTGATAATGGGTGAAACATTAAGTACAGTGATGACTGGTAAGTGTGCATGAGGCATATTCGGGAACTTGATTCCTGCTGCAGAGGTTAAGGTTGGAGTAACATATTATCATGAAAGTGAATATTTGTAATAACACAGTCAAGTTTGAATTATTCTATTAATATTATACCTAAATATTTTGTCGTATTAAATTTGAACTCCAACCAATGTTAACCTACACAATTTGTTAAATAATTGTACCTGTTACGTGATCGTACTGCATATGATTAGTTTCATCGTAACGATCGATGTAATGAGAGATAAAAAAGAATATGTTTCAAAAAAATGACCTCAAACTTGAAATCACTTAACTAGTACAAGATATTATGCTTAACCAATATAAGACATTAAACTTAACCTCCCAAGCTTAACCTCTTATTAAACAAGAAGAAATGAGATATAAAAAATAGAGTTCGTACAAAAGAGCAATAAATTATAAGAACGATGAAAGTTTCCATTTCTCGTTTCGTCGACTGAAATCTCGCCTCCATGAAAATAGCAGGGAAACTTTCTTATTGGAAAGCCTAATAACCTCGTATTGATTCGATCGACACCGATTTCCCATAATAACGGGAACAATGCGGGAATAGTGTGGCTCAGAGGCCAGCAATTTTCTACTTTTATCTTGATGCTCGATGAAAAATCGGTAAAACCACCGAACGACCCACGTTCAAGCTGGACCGGCTGCCTTATTTAGTGATCCACCACGTGGAGGCGTTATTGGCTGCGCGACCACAGTTCCTGTTTTCACGTTACACCGCCGATGCGATTCGTCCCCGTTACAACCTGTTGTATTTCAACGCGTACGATTGTTCCAGCGTTTATCCGCACGTGAGAACCTCGAGGAGAACACAAATTCTTTGTCACGACGCGTTAACGAGGGAACAATGGCTACGGAACACGAGCTCACTAATAATGGCCGACGAATTTATTAACAACTCGGGATCTCCTGCCAGATACGGAATTCCTTTCTTTCGTTACAATTCTAGGGGACTCAATACTTGCGTACTTTTAATAATTACATCGTTGCATGTTCATGTACGTCTCACATCCACCAAACCGTATGTTAATACGTTTAGTATAAATTACACTCTCGATGGTTGAAAAAAATCAGATATGGAAATGGATGCAAAAAGAATTGTAAATGTGAGAAAATGAGAAACGGTGTATGCAGTGCCGACGAAAATGTGAGGGTAAAATATTAAAAAGCATTAGGTCGGTAAGGGCAGTAGTTGTACTCTAAATTTGCGTTGGAGCCGTTCATTAGCGTCGCGACGCGGGACGAATGACGGTTCCACCTGTCCACAACACGCGCAATTAGTCTTCCACTTAGACACGCGGTGAGTATTTCATTCAGTGGCAGGCAGGCATCGAGAGCGATGGAAAGGCTCTCTTGATCAATAGGCACTCAATTTGGTGTGTTCCCGTACGGTCCGCTACCTTTCCAACGTTCCCGGTAATTGACCATTACCGGCCCGCGAAACTATGATTGCGTATATTCGTGGAAAATGCACGCCATTATGCCCAATTTATCATTCCTCCGGATAGAGGAAATTGGGAATCAATTAGAGTGTGTAATGCCACGGTGGCTGGCTACGCCACTCCGTTCAGAAACATTAAACGAACCCCCTTATGTTCGTATTAATATCACGCGCCATGCTGATTATTCATCGGTTCGGCTTCATTTATAATACATAATCGTCCCGTTCAATCTTCCCGTTCGTTGCGTTTCGACTTTCAATTCGGTCTCTAGCGTATAGGTTGTTAAAAGGTCCGAATAAATTTGATTCGATTCTACACGATCGATTGGTGAACGTTTACTTTTCGACTACGTGCTGCCACGTTTTGTCGAACGGATTCTACGGTTTTGTGAGAATCGGAGCATTTCGTAATTCGATACGGTACACGAAAATAAATACATTTATTCCTTACGTTTATTCGTAACTTAACGCTGTACGATTATACAAGTATAATTTTAAGAAATTTTATATTCGTTCAAAGCAAAGTTTTTATTATACCATTAAAGATTAAATGAGCTAGTTATAACGAAATTGAACTTCATTTTTTAAACTGAATCACATTGTCAAACTGCAGTTGCACTATCATAAATGTGACAGATATTTTCAATTGTGAATAGAGGTTCAAGATTGGAAGTATGATTTGAAGCATTAAATAAGAGTCAGCATTGAGAGTTTTGTCCAAAATACATACAATTAGTTATACATATCAATAATGATTATAATAAACAATTGAATAATAGATAATTATTGCCTCGAGAATTAAAGTGTAGTTGATCGAGTGTATTTCTAATGAAGGTTAAATAATTAACCGTGTTTATGTTCGAGGCAGATCTCTGTCCGCAGAGCCACCCTTGGAGATAACTAAATGCTAAAGCAAGTAGAAGACACGTTGGTTTGTTTGAGAAACAAGCATCCCTGGGTCACCAGCAGCACGTTATCGGGTGCGTGTGTAAACGAGTGGTGACTGCGGCGGTGGCACGTCTGCGGTTGCGGCTCGCTGCAAATCGTGCACAAGGCTTTATGAAGCCGTTGGAAGTTCGCCGCGGGGGTTCGACCAGCGAGGCGTGTTGCTTGCCAGCATAAATTACGCGCGATTTTGCATTTACACTGAAAACCGAGCTACGGACCGACCAGTGGAAACTGATATTTATTGTCGCTGAACGGCCAATGATATTAAACGCGAGAATCTCGGCATCATTACCGATGCGATTAGGAGAGCGGGGCTACAATCAGCGAACTCTCCTTCGAGTACTCGATTCATGTTCCTGTCGCGATGACATCGAATTTTAATTTCCTCAGCCACTTTACATGATAATCGTAGACTCGCGTATAGAGTTGTACGATAGAGCAATTACGATTCGAGAAACAGAAATATTCATTGTTACTTCAACGAGTAATTTATGATGTATTCATGTTTTTGAATGTCTTTAGAGATTATTCGACGATAAGTGATTTTCTCTTCTTACGATGACGTGAAATTTTAATTTTCTCTTAAAGTATGCTTAAGTTCTCTTTAAAGTATGCACTTGTACACTTGTACCCATAACTTGAAATTGAAAACCGAATAAAAAATGAAGAAACAAACAATTAAATACACATTAATTCCTCACCTCAGACTTCAAGAGAAGTATCTTAACAAATTTTACAACTTAAAAGAAGAAACTGTCTGTTATATTTGATATTTTGAAACCTTAAAGGTAGTTCAATTAGTGGACCAAAGATCGTGTACTTCTCGAAGTGTCGTCAGAGCTCAAGTACTTTGAAACGTCATAAATGCCATTTATCGTTGGGCACCGTAAGTTGACAACTTGAAGTCTACCCACGGCCATTTAATTCCCATCGTCTGCGATATTCGCGTCGAAGAATGCGGACGATGATCCATCGACGTCCCTTCTGGTACGCACTCCCGCGGTGATGCTTGATGAATCGTCACGAATCCCAGGGGTTAAGGATCCACCACCGTGCTGGAACCTCGATCCAGACCGTGGAACGTAGAACCCGATCGCGTAATTAATGCTCGTGCATCAATTCGCACTAAGCGCCCATGAATCTGACTGATTCTCATCAGAGAGCGATCGATGCAGTCGAGGTAACAGAGTTCAAGACGGTTCGAGCAAGGAAGAAGAATAAAAAGAAGAAGAAGAAAGAAAAAAAGAAACTGAAACGTTGTCTAAATCACGTAGAGGGATCGAATGCGTGCCTTTTCCGCTCGTGATCCTCTGGGGTACGCGGATCGGCCGCTAGCGGGGAGAAATTAATAGCCCGGTATTAATTCTCACTGATTCTACCACGAAATGACTGGTTGCTTGATTCCATCAATCTGCGGGAGTAATAACAGGCGTGCCTGGTTCGTTCGATTCGGTCCGTGCGTCTCGTACACGCTGTGCGCCCTCGTCTTGCGTTACGCGCGAACGTCAAGACGAGATCTATGGCCCTGGGTCGAACGAGATACTTTATTTCGGAATTTGAACGCTACTTTAGAAAGATACGTTCCAAATAATTAATTAAACGTTTCTAATTGAAACCGTACATTTTCGATTTGTCTAAATTAGTACTTAGGAAACTTGTGAAGTTCAAAGATACAATTGGAAAAGTTGCATAGCTAGAAGTTCATCAAATTTTAAAAACTATGAAATTTAGAGGTTTGCAGATATGAAACTTAAGAACCTGAAAAGAAGTCTAAAATTTCACGTACTTCGTATTCTACAGATTCCTAACAGATTAAAAAGTTCAGATGTTTAACAATTGATAACCGTAATTTAGAAGTAGTGTGAGTATTCCGAAAATTCGAAAGTCAAACTAAAAAATTTACAAAGACCCAAATGGAAAAATGTGGAAGTTGAAAGGTTAGCAAGTTTACGCCGTCCGCAGAAATGCAAGTACCCGAGCGTACACGTTATCCCCGGAAGAATCGTCCGGAGAAATGGTTTTACATAAAACTTCCGTGGAATTGGGAAACGTTGTTGCGGGCTGCCGCTTCCAGTCCCCCCGGTCGCAGAAAATTCATTCGAGGAAGCGTCGGGAGAGATACACGTCAAGATTCGCGGTTGAGTTTCAGGGAAATCCTTTAGACGCGATTGTCGTTAGTCTAAGCCGGCTCTGTCGGCAGCCGATGCACGTACAGGTAGGTGCGCCGTGCACAAAGCAACGGTCGCGAGCGGCTATGTTGCGGAGGGCATGCTCCTTTATAATGGAATAGTTCGTGGCGAGCGATTTATCGCGACTATTTCCATGTCGCCGTTCCACGGATACCGCTTCGTCCGCTGCGCTTCTCGACGATGCTCGGTGCATCTTTTACCCGGGACGAGGAACTCCGGTGCATCGTGTATCAATGAGGTCGCCGTTCGTTCGGTGGACCGCGATGCCATACCGCTTCTCTCGTGATTCCGACGATCTACCTTCTCGAACACATACACCACGTTATTTTTCCTCGTACTATATGTCCCAATTACCGGACGCTCCAGACACTTTGCACGATC